CCCCCCCCCCCCCACACACACACACACCCTTGTCAATTTTTTTTTGAAAAATATTTCAATTTTTTAAAATTTCATTTTCACACCACCCTACTCCAACCACTCCCTCCACCACCACATCATTACTTTTGAAAAATATTTCAGTGCTGGATTTTGGAACGGTCGTCGAGATTGTGCCCTAGTTCAGGTGTTAGGGTCCGGTTCTTCTTTTTCTTTTATAAATGAATCTCTTTTACCCATTTTACCCATTTAACTACCCACTTTTAAATGAGTAATATGAATTTGACTCGTTTCTTTATCCATTTTAAATGAGTAATATGAATTGGTCATGTGTTAACATACACTTGGAAAAAATAAATATTAACTCAATTGTCTTCTTCTTTATTATTGTTCTTCACTAGTATACGTAGCCGCGCAACGCGCGGCTATATATTAATTTAATAAAATATCAAATACTTCAAATATTTTTATATATTGTCCTTTATTACTTTTATGTTGTATTAATAAATTAATATTTTTCATATTAAAAAATTAATATTTAATTTTTTTTCACATGAAATGTAAAATATCATAAGATTAAATGACATGTTAGTATATTTTGAATATTTATTTTTCGAATCCAAAACATTCTTTACATTCTGAAATTTGCGTCAAACTATAATAGAAAAATGATTTAATATAGAGTGGATATAAATAATGTAATAATAATACATGTACTTGCTATATACATTTTCTTATTAATCATTGAAAATAATTAATTAATCAGTTTGTTATATTATTTTTTAAAACATTAATTTAATCTCTTAAACTTTCGCAGAAGAAAATAATAATTTAAATTTTAATCAATGATTAGATGTCGAGGAACTTATCAATTTTTCTAGTATTCTAATATAGTAATTATTGCGTAAATTCCTGTTATGACTATTATAAAATTTATCATAATTTTTAATACTTATTATTTTAATACAACGTGTAATCTTTACTTATTATTTTCTTCCCATTGTTATTTTTGTTTAATTATATTACAAAGAATACTAACAACAATTTCTTTTTTTATTAATGTAAAGATAATTTAATATAACGTGTAATTTTTACTTACTATCTTCTTCCCAATTTTATTTTTTTAATCATCTATAAATAATAGTTACAACAATTTATATTTTTATTAACGTAAAGATTTTGAGTAATAATTCTTCTTATGTTCTATTAATAATAATGATCGAAATTATTCACTATTAAAGTTTCTACATAATTGATATAAAAATTGAGGTTGCATACAAATAAAAACATGTTTGAACAAACAAAATAATTATAGGAAAAACTACACAATATAGCTAACATTGATAAGTATTTAGTGTCTATAGCTACAATTTAAAATAATTATTATATATGAATATATTTTACTGTTAATTAACAAAGAGAAATTTGCATGCCAGTATGCTTTTTCTAGGCGTCTTTCTCGGCCACAAGCCAACAACTCCCTTTGTCCCTGATTTGATCTTTCTCTTTTATTAGCTTAAATCAATGTAATTTTTTTTTTCAAAATCTCTCAAGATCAGATAATTTGCCCGATTTTTACATCTAATTCGGTATACTTATTTTTCAGATAGCATCAATTTATTCTCCTTGTTCAATTTTTTTCACAGTATTTGTATAAGAGTGTCTATAATTTCAAATTCATAGGGTTTTAGTTGAACCTATTATTTTCTCCATTAAAATGGCGAAGATTAGTATTTTAAAGAAGGTTACGTGAAGTATAACATTATTTGATAAAAATCACAATGACCCCATACCGATGCAACAACTTAACCAAGAGCAAGGGAAAAGCTCTCTCAACAGAAAGGATGGTGTTCAAACTTCAAAATCTATATATAAAAAAAAAAGTTAAAAAGAAAGAAAAGTATGTGTTCCCGAAGAACCACATAAACCACCAAAAGAGTATTTTATCATTCCCGAATTAGTTTGTATTTACTTGTTCCCGTGTATTTTGCATACAATTGAATATTTGTATTATTTTCTGTGTTTGTATCATTACTAACTTCTAGATGAGTTCGGGATGTTTAGAAACACTTTGGGGTGTTGGAAACAACTAGGGAACATAGGTATAACACCTAGGAACATGCATGAGAAAGCATGGAAGGAATAGGAAAACTTGGCGCTCTGAGAGGCGCGGAGCGCCAGACCAGAAACCTCAGAGAGGGACTGCTGGCGTACTGAGAGGCGCGACAGG